TACAGAAATAATCTGACATGGCCATATGCTAATGTCAGAGAATAACATTGGTTGTGGAGAATGCTTTCACTGTGGGTGATCTCCATTCTTAACAAGTTGCGGATGCGTAACCTCCCACTGCGCAAAGTATTCCAGTGGGGAAGCTCCAGTTCCGCAAGGGACAAGATCAGTCGGAGTTGTGCATACTCCGCTCGAGACATCACATGGCGCATATATCCATGAATCAAAGCGCCCAAAACGTCCTGGATTGGAGCAAACGCAACGTAAGTTTTTCTCCTTGGATCCTATTTGGGTGAACGAGTGGCTGATTCGTCCATTCCAGGGTGTCAACAGGCTGGCTTACCCCCTGCGACCTGAAAGGATACCAGCTTTCGGCGATCCTTCTGGCATTTCGATCGACAGGATCCGCAAGATTGCCCGGCCCAAGCTGATGAACGGTTTCAAACAGGACATCATCCCAATCCATCTCATGCTCGGAATCTGAAGACTCGTCGTCGGCAGGATTGAAGAGGGTCAATGACGCGTTGCGCGCTACAATCAGCAAGTCCAAAGCATCCGAATCCTCATCAGACCTGGGATCCGCATGCAGAGTGCCCGACTCAAAGGCCAGCTCATTGGCAACACTCGTCCACAAAGTCACTTCATCCTCTCGAGGCTGCCCGGGATTTGAAGCTGGTTCCAAGGTGCGTCTGGTTGTTACCTCATAATCTCTGACCATTTGCTGATGTTTTGACAACATTGTATGGGGTCGGTAATCTAACATTGTTTTCCCTCCGCACAGCATGCAGGAGAAATGCTTCTTCCCAAATGCATCTTGGCCCACCTTAAAATCTGAAGCCAGCCGGCAAGGTGAGTCATTTTTCAGCTACTTTTTTTTTGGGGGGGGGGGGGGCAACGGGACCTTTGAACTCACAAGGGGGATCGTTCGCATCCATATCGGCCCTTCCAGACGCTTCTGAGATGAGAAATAAGCTAATCCGATGTTTGCGGTTAATTGATAAGAGACCACACCGGGCAAGTTGCAGACGGTGAGGATGATGATTTGGGGGACCACACCACAGACGAGCCCTTTTTATCTTCCACATCGACTCTGGGAGGGATTTTTCAATCACGGTGAGCCCTTTCCCATTCACCGCTCTGCAACAGCCAGCTGTCCCACTGTTCATAAGGGGCGGTGTGCTCCAATTTATCTCCTCTTCATCTTCCCCCCCCCCCCCCCCTTTGGACTGCCCCAATTCCCTCAATCTCCAGTTCAATCGCCATTCCAACAGCGCTCCATTGTTTCAGGGGAGCCATTTCCCCCCTCATGCAACACCGCTTTTCAATGGGCTGATGATTATCCTCCCCTGTTGCCTCCCATCCCTTCTCATTAAATGACCGATCACTTCATTTGTCTGCTGCTGCCTTGCCCCCGCTTTCTGACGACCCATTCAACAGCCTCGCCACTCCTCCTACCCCTAGCAACCGTCCCCACGACCGGTTGCGCCTCTGTGTCAACCTCGCAGATTGCCTCCCCCAACTGAACATGAACATTGGTGAGTGATTGCCACTTAGAGTTAGTCTTCTAAATATGTACACCTAATTAACTCATTTGTTGCAGAGACTCTTGACCCCATGTTGCGTGGCGAGGCCACCCCTGAACCCACTGACCTTGACATGCGTGACGATGATGATTTTGGCACTCAGCTGGGCGCGAACCCGCCAGATGCCAGTCACCAGGCTGACCACCGACGAGATATCGATCCGGAATCTGATTCCGAGTTGTCAGAACTTCCAGACGATCCTCTGGAGTTCCTTAGGATCTTGCAGGATACTGTATTCTCGCGAGAAAATACAATGGACTTTGCCCGTCGGATCTTTGCTGTAAGTGACCCATCTCCCAGCCACATTTAGGATTTCAAACCTGCTGATTTTGGTCTTAATTATCTGTAGTCAGAAGGCATTGCTACCGGCCACTTCACCACCGTCATCTACCTCGAAACGCTCCGCAGACTTCAGGCTACCCCCACCGCCGGTTTGATTGCCCCGATCGATTTGGCCGCGGCAAACTTCACATTTGGGAACCACATCCGAGTAAGTCAGCCCATGCATCCCCTAACTTGTCCAATTGCCTGTTGCTTATCCGACTACTTCTCATCCCATCATTTCTCTCAGGGTTTCCTCCGCGATAGGATCCGCCAAATCCTTACCACCCACAACGTTGACGCTTACACTCAAAACATCAACTCCCAAGGCCGCGCAATAGAACGCACTCCTTTGCTCATCTTGAGAGTAAGTCACTTGTGTTCCTCTTCTCTTCTCTGTACTGATGACATGTTTTCCACTCATCAGGCCCACGTCGATGCCCAAGAGCCTGCATTTTGGGCCGATTTCCTCCCAGCCGGATATCCTGAAGACCAATCGGCCCAGCTCACCGTGATGAGATTCATGCGTGTTCTTTTGAAGCACGAACGAGGCCAACTCCGCAATTTGGTGAGTCTGCGCTGACATACCATGTCGTCTGGTTGGCTAACAGATCTCTTGTCAGCTGTTGACCAACATCAAGGCATATGGCCGACGCTTGATTGAAGGCTCAGTGCCACCTCTCATGGACCTTATAGTCATAGTAAGTCATCAATCTGCTCACTTCAGTCTTTGCAGTATGCCGCGCTGACTTGATCACCTTTCAGATCGACAGGGGAATGGCCTCCCATGGGCGTCCTCGGCCCGTCGCAGCCATTCGCCAGGCTTACGATGGCACCACTAAGATCCGAATCGCATTCTTGAGGCTGGCTATGGCGGAGAACTTGGTCAGTCGCCAGCCGTTCAATTCGATGACGATTTGGGAAATCATCGATAGTCGCCTGGAGCATGTCTCCAGGCAGAGCATTGCTTATCAACGCACGTAAGACCGTTCCCACCATTTCCTCCTCATCATTTTGCTGACCCATTCTGCTGGCCGCCACAGGTTTAGCGAACTTGTACTGATCAAAGACCGGGAGCTCTTTGGGTCATTACCCTTCAAGGACCTCCCACCCGAAACTGTGCGCGTCCCGACTGATGATGATGTTGAATCATCACTACGCATTCGCTAGGCCAACTCAACTCATTGGCCATTTCCATATTGTCATGGTTTTCATTGGTGTATTACCCAATCCAAAGAGCGTCTTGTTAGCTCTGTATCCAGCCTTAACCCCCAGCCTTGAAGATTAACATTAGCATCCTGATTACCATTGCCCGCTTCCATAGTTCTTATCTGACTGTGCTGTGCAAAACCGAGAATTGAAACGTCCCGCATGATAGTCGTGTTGGGTAAGATTGACCCAAGCACCCATACTCCGAAATGAAAAGGACGATTTTGGAAATGGGTCAATCTACAATGAATCACCTTGTGGTTGAACCTTACCCTACTCACTGGGGAGCACCGATTGAATGTGAGCGATTGCTAACACTTTTACGCGAGATGAGCCCTGAGTATGCGGTTTGCATCCCAAACAGGCCAGACGATCTCCAAGCTGAACAAATCACAACCCGGGCAGCAGTCTAAGCTTGCCACTAACTTGCCACAATTGCTCGGAGATGTTTGCCTTGGGCTTTGGTGGGGGGGGGGGGGCTTGGAGAAGTAGGATCTGCCTCTGGTATTGGCAAAACACAGAGGCACCTCTGGAGTTTGAACCCCTATTGTAAACTGCTATCCCAGCACAACAGCTTGCCAGAACGGCTTGCATTGTTCCGAATTGGTAAACCACCATCGCGGCGCGACAGCTTGCCAAAATGACTTGCAATGTTCCGAATCAGCACGTTCCTGCAGGTGACGGTTGGGGAAATGCCGCCATGTAGCTCACTGAACTTAACACAAGTCCCTCCGAGGAGGTCGCCGGAGGCGCTTCGCGCCTCCTCGGAGAGGGTTAGTTAAGCTCGAAAGCTCACTGTCTTCAGGAAGACTAAGCCTACCTGGTCTTGTAACATCACCTAGGCTTACTGACTCAGTTGGCTTGAAGTTTTTTGGATCAAGTAAGTACATACATTCTCTGTCAACATGGTATTGTGAGTCTTATTTCCTGGCAACTGTGATCTACCCGTGTTATGCATAGGTTAGCAAGCGTCTAGATTCAGTTTTGCCTGGGGAGGAGTACTCCCCGTTCATCACTTTAACATGCCTGCTCACCAAGGAGAGGGTCTGCGGGGTGAATGGGTACACATTGTAACTGCTTGCTGAGATGTCCAGCGCGGATTTCTCCTGAGCCATCGATTTCTACTTGCTCTCCAAGAGGGGATCCCGTCGATAAAGTGGGTACATATGCTTTGTCCCATTTGCTTGAGAGAAAGCTCCCTTGGTGAACCTGAACAAGACCAAGGAGCAATCTTACCCACAAGGCAAGGAAGCCCCCTCACAAGCGAGCAGCCACAAAGCAGACACTGCTCCCTTGGGCCCTTGAAAGGGAGCTTGTCTAGCAGATAAAACCCGCTTGCCAAGGTGTAATCTAGCCCAGCGAGCCGGTTCTTGTATCGACTCATCACCTCCAAGGTACCCTACCCGCCGGCCGGGTGGCCGAGTTGGCAAGTCCTGACAAGCCCAAATGGGTAGTATGCACATATTAAATAAGTTTTTTTTTTTGTTTTGTTGTTGTCATGGTCCCGATGGATTATCATGCGGGACGATTCATTCTTGCGTGCAAAACTCATCAAATTCAACCCCCAAAAAAATTGAAAATCCTAAATCTTGAAAAAAAAGCTTGTATGTAGTCATTGCAGTCTGTCCGTGCTGAAAATAAAAAAATTAGTAAAAAAAAACACCCGGCCGCTTGTGCCCATAGGCTGTTTAGGGGGCCCCGCCCCCCCCCCGACAGCCTTCCCCCCGCCGACCCCAAAACCTTTTTTTTTGTTTTCTGCCGTAGTGCGACCCGACGTCGGCATTCCCGCCCCCACAGGCGGTCATTTGTCCGGTCATGACCTGTTCGGCCACGTTTCCGCTATTCCTCCCAACGGTCAACCGGGTTTACCGTTGGACCCTCCTGACGTGGGAGAGAAACCGCGGTCCCAAATCCCTTTGCCGGACCGTTTTTGGCCGGTCGATTTTGACCGTTAACCCCCCTAACCGTCATCAACGCCTGCATCTTGACCGGCGGTGTGTTGGCGGTTACCTAACCAGCACAGATTGACCGTCCGCGCCCGCTTCAGTCAGACGGGTCTCCCTTTGGACCTCTGCTGTGGAGTCGACCCCGGCGGGGTCATATCGAGACAAACTGACGCCAAACATGGGGTCCAATTGCCGCCTGACGCGGCCCGTGGTGTGTGTGACCGAACAGTCACTCCGGTGCTGATTTGGTATGCAAGCTGTTCCAAGATGTGGTGCTCTATTTCCTCATCAGTCTTGGGCTTGAAGTAGGAACTTCCTATGCAGTCAACCAATCGTCGTCTTAGATCGGATATTTAAGAACTTGAGCAAACTTAATTTCTTGTTCAAGCAAACAAACCTCTCACCAAGCAGTGACTGTTCGTCTGCAACAAGAAAAAAAAAAAAACGCAAGCGAGAGGAGATGCCCAGCGTTGTCATCAGCTCTTCGATCCGTTTCCTGCGCCTCTTGCAGCTTCAATCCGGCTTCAATCTTCCATCCCACCACCGCAGTTTTGCGAAAAATTTAGCCCGAACTGCACCTAAAAAAGAAATCGATCCTGACGTCAAGTGGAGTAGTCCGTTGCCCAAGCAGACACCCTCGGATGCTCCGAATGACGCTAAGGAGGCCGCTGATGCCAAGGTTTTCACTTACCTGGTGGTGGCTCCTGACCTTGGCAATTCGAAAAGGTGCGCAACAACAGCCAGCTATGTACTACCGTCTCGGACCATTGGCCTTCCTCCTGCAAGAAAGTAAGCACGTCTAGATCCATTTACTTATGCGTTTCTTTCTTTCTTTCTTTTTTTATCTTAGGGCCATTCTTAGAGCGGAACATTTTAAAATGGCACAGGAAGGCTTGAAGACTTGTCGGATCGGTTCGTGCTCTAATCTCAGTAAATACTAAATTCCCTCATGAACTGAAAATTGGGCATTTTCGACGACGATGTTAATGATCCATCACAGTGAACGCCGGCGCTATGCTAGAATCGGATGCCTCGGAATCAAACAACTTTGATCCCAAAATGATCGGTGAGATCCATTTTTTTTCTTTTGAATCATCTATCATTCCATCTCTTTTTTGAATTCGACAGATGATGAAGACTGTGGCTCAAACCTGACAAAAATAAATGTGTGACTCTGCCCATGATGCCCTTCATACATTTCCAACAACTTGCACTTATTGTCAGGTTCTTGGTTATTGATCAAAGCGAGATCAATTGAAGAAGCCAGAAGATTATGTTTGAACGATATATACGCGAAAGAATCTGCCTGGGATACCACCAAGTTACAGATCACACCGGTTAAGACATTAGTTTGACCTGCGGATTGTTGCATGGACATTCTTCCTTGATCACGGCAATCTAACAGTTCTAGCATCTGTCAACGTCCTGGAGTCTGCCCCTGCTCCTCTTGTATTCAATCCAGCTTTAAGCTGGTGAGATCAAAGCGAGACAAAGGTTGAGAACGTCGTAAGTTTCTATCAGTAGTGCCATGGATGGCTTCCAAGCATTTCCCTCTGTAAGCTTTCCCCAATCGCTTCAGTGAAGCAATCTACAGAAGACCCCAGGAGTACTTTGCTGAGTGAACAGCACACTGTTACAAACTGGTCAATGGGTGCGGTGAGTCATGTGCGTTGAGTCATGGAAAGTGGCTGATCCCATGCTGACCCACACATGGACAAGGGGCTTTTGGCCCTTGCTATACATTGGTGATGAGATTGATTTGGGTCAAACCCCAGCCTCAAAGTCGAGGCATTTGGGTCCTGATAAAGATGAGATGGGGATCAAGGATGGTTAGAGCCATGCAGGGAGATGGCACAAGTCATTAAGGAAGCTGCCTAGGGAATCATAATTATGAATTTTCATTGCATATATCATATAGGTTCTATATCCAGGAGAGTCCAAACACCGGCCCATTCCAATGATCCTTGGGCGGCTGGCAATCCATAGTGCATTTCTGCACATCCCGTATAATGATATTACCCTACTTACTCTTCTTTGTCGATGGTTGTTCGTTCGGAAACGTAGACACCTGGGAGAGAGAAAACAAAAATCAGCCAGATGGAAATTTTGAGGGCAGGTGGTTCAAGGTGACTAACCGTCAAGGAACTTTCGGATATCCTTGTTCTTGACCAGACACGAGGTGTGGATGGAAGCGGCAGATTGCGAAACTTTCTCAATGTCAAGGCCTGTGCAGGGAAAGAAGCAAGTCACACAATGTGAGCCTTTGATGAGAACGATCAACAAGGTGACTAGAAGAGGCACTGACCTTGGATGGTGATTTCATCCTTCTGGGACTTGCTTTCAGTGACAGTGACACCTTCCAACATGGGTACGTGTCGGACTCGCTTTTCACCCAAGAAGTTTCGGATTTCCAGGGATTTGGCGTCATCGGAAATGATGATGTTGATGGGGAAATGTGCGTAGACCGATCGCATCTTGTAAAGGAAACCTTTGGTCACACCGATGATCATCTAGACAAAGGTGGTAGAAAAAAAGGCAATTGGATCGGTAGATTAGTGAGGTGAAGCTCGGTAAGACTCATTATGGACGTGGCTACTTACGTTTTCGACCAATGATTTAACAGTTCTCAAGCAAGCAACGTGCTTGCGACCTCCGTGCCAGACGACGAATTTGACCTTGTAGCCTTTGGGGCCAGAGATGAGCTTCAAATCCATGTTGATGTGTTTGATGTGCTGATCAAGACCAACAACGTGTTAGGTCAGCTAAACAGCACGCTACAGCGCGACTAGAGCGACTGGAAACATACCTTGCACAGGGTTCCCTTGGGACCCTCAACAGTCACTGTTCGGGCTCGGATGGTGACCTTGACGCCTTCGGGCACAGCCAATTCTTCATCTTTGTAAATGTCCTTCATCGTTGACCCGAAGTCTGATTTGACGCAACAAGCCTTATTTCAGTAAAACGAATGGAAATGGCAGTTCACGTTTATGAAAGACTGACAAAGTGGTGCCGGAAGTTGTCGCCGAGGTCGGTGTTCGTCGTTGTCGTAGGTGGTCGGAGGTGGTTCCTGTTGCTTCTCGGCGGGTATACGGGCAGCGTGAGGGCTCACTGAGTTAGGTCAAACCCACCCGGATGCCCGGCGGTGGTAAACGAGGTTAGGTTTCATTTGCTCGTGAGTCCTGCTGCGCCGCAGTCGCCTGCAAGAGAACGGCGCTCGGATAGTTCGACCCATGTATCCGAGTCTCACCAGACACCGGACTGCTTCAAAATTGATATACCTGACAGCTGTCTCAAAACTTATCAGCAGCTTGGCCTTGAACTCCTTGGATCAGATTAGCCTACTTCTAAAACTTGTGGCCACTGGAGGTGATCCATATTCTGTGATGCACCACAGCAGGATCAAAATGAATCCCCTGTTCTTGGAGATAAGGTAGATCGTGTAACTGGCATGTCTTCTTTTTTCGGCAGAGGCACCATGGAAGAGGGACAGGGGAAATCGAGCTTAACATAGTCCTCCACGGCGGGAGCAGTAGCAAGCAGCGGAGCTGTCCACGCCAGTGGAGGCCTATGCCCAATGTTGCAAGGCCCGCGTGGTGAGTTTTCAGAATTCAACTGAAAACTCACTTTTTTGTGTGTTTTTCACTCTAAGCACTCCCTTAATCATACTCATCTAATTTCCTCCTGGGACAGGGGAGGCCTGTGTCTTACCCATATTTCCCTGTGTTCAGTTTTTTGGTTATGCTTGTTAATCATTTATAAAAAGTTTTTGAAAAGGTTGACTTTTCAACTCAACCTGGCTTCTTTTGGTGGGCCCAAGTTGAGCAAAGCCCGCATTTGAGCTCAAAAAAAGTTCAAATCATAATTTTAGAAATTTATTATTAATTACAGTTTTCAGGTGCAACTTCTAAGCTTTGGCCTGATCAACAAGATCAGGCAGGTCTTTAAAAATTCCAGACCAAACATCAAGAAAGTTTTGAGGGAGCGTTGTGATTCCAAATCTTATGACACTCCCACCAAAACACCTCAAACTCAGCAAGCGAGTCAGGCAACTTTAGTCCCAAGTCTCACCTGCGGGGAGTTCCCTTCGGGAACCGCCTGGCCAGCGCTACACTGCCAGATGCGCCCCCCGCAGCCTGAGACTTGCAACAAGTTTGAGGGGAAATATAGATATCTTGCTTTTGATGTGGTTACAATACAAGGAAGCAACGTGGAATTCATGGATGATGTGTTTCTTCAAATTTTGACAAGGCTTGGATAATTAGAGCATCTCCACCGCGGGCCCTATCCCACATATAGGGCCCGTGAATCCCAAAACCACAGCCACCACGGCCCCTATGTGGGGCCCTATAATACGGAAGCCCATAGGGGACTCCAATCGGCTCACGATTTTGAAAAATGGAAAACTAAAATACAGAAAGCTGTATTCTATTTAAAATATTCTGAATTTGATATTCCTGAAACAGGTTTGTGTTTCAACCTTTGGAAATCAGAAACAGGAGAAGCAGGTTTTCAGATTGGACTTCCCCCTTTAGCCAAAACATAAGGGAAAGTCCAACTTGTCATCAAACAGGTTTTGTCTCCAGCTATGTAACTGAAAATGGGCAAGTTGAATCGGAAAGCCATGGGGCTGAATGCAGCAGGCATCTGGGCTGTGCAACTTGAGGGCAGCTTTCTTCAGTCCATTACCAGAACACCAGCACCCATCTCATTGTCTCCAGATCATCATGGTCACCTGCATGAAGTGCACCAGATTTGTCACCCAGGTCGAGTTTGGTTGGTGCCGTGAATTTCTTAATTTTGTTGGCCTTATTCCTGGAAATATGGCGAACCAGTTACCCAGTCAACCAGCAAATCATTATAACATCATCCCTCCAGCCCCCACATCCTCCATACTCCAAGTGCCTCCTGGGAATCCAACTCCATCAGCAGCTAGTTTGGCCCAGTGCGCTGGTACCAATGCACATTTATGCAATGTTGGCAAGGAAAAACGTACAAAAAACCCGGCTCCAACTCCTTACTCCAGAAACCCAAAACCTTTGACATCAGCACCAACAGATGAAAATCCGATCTGAATGTTTAAATGTGGAATCTCGTTCTTCCAGGACAAAACGCTGAAGAAGACTGGTATCATGAGTTACATGCAGCAGATAGACACAAGCATTCCTCAATTATACAAGACCCTTCAACACCAATTATGGAAGTTGTTCTCTCCCAAGCTACTACATACACGAAGAATTGGTCGAATCGCTTCCTAGTACCCCAATTGGCTACACATCTTTAAGCCATAATAAGAGTGTTCTTGATCCCAAGACCCTCCTCCTCCTTGTGGGACAGTCCACTTTGAAGAAGCCCATCCAGATTGACCTGATCTATGAGGACAATGAAGAAGATACCAACACAATCCTTGCTACCGAGAACCCTGCTGCAACCGAGAGGTCTTTGAGAACCGGCTTGAATGTTGCTACTTCCAGAAGGCCGTCATCACTACTTGGAAGTCAGCTCGTCTCATGTCAAACTTCTCGCAGAAACATCGAAGATCATCCATATACCCAAACAGCTATCACTGCTTGTCAAACGGAAAATGCTTGGGCGCTAGGTGGGATTGCTGGTGAGCTCTCAATTACCATGTAGTCATGTGTATGGTAGAAAAGCTGATTTCAATCCTGTAAAGGCACTGTGCCTGCCTGTGGAGGTGCCAGCCTCTCAACTCACTTGAATAACCTTGGTCGGCCCCTGTCAAACTCCCTTAACATCAATCCTGAGGGCTGGGCCATTGCCCATAGGCTCATATTTAACAATGTTGATGTCAACCCCAGCAGAATCATTACATTGCTTCAACGACACCACAGTCTCAAGGCCACTACTGCTCCACTGACTGTCAAGGTTGATCACAACATCCTTGTTGGTCAGGGCAGTATGAGGAAAGCCTTTTCGGCTCAGGTCAAGAGTGAAGGCCGGAACGGAGGCCCATCACGCATCACCAATTGGGTTGCAAAAGTGTGATACCATGATAAGCTCCCTGACATCAAACTCCATGCTACAGACGCCCACATGTACGAGGCATCTGGTCATCTCCTTCAAGCGTACCAGTCAGTCATCAAACAGTGCCCAAGCAAACTACTCTCGGTTACCTTGAGGGAAAGTCAAAGTCCTTCAAGGTATGTACACCTTTTCACTTTATATAAAATTGTTTCCTTGTACTTAGATAACTCATGGTTCTGTTGGATATTTCAGCTTGTCCGTCATTGTGTAATTTACATTGGTGAAGAAATCTGTCCAGCGGAAGTCTACTTCTTGGAAGCTTGCCTTGAAGGGGATTATGTCAAATACTCAAGCAACGTCAACTTCTCCATCACTGATAGGCAACCTGGGATGGACATCGACAACCTATCTATCATGAATGCCTTTACCCATTGGTCATACTTCATTTCCAATGGGGCTAGCCTTGTATGTGATTTACAGGGAGTGGGATCAACAATCACTGATCCTCAAATAATTGATTGTGATGATGCGTAAGTCCACATGATCTCCCTGCCTGAGCCTTTTGCTGGTTTGTCTGACATGCCGTTTGAAGTTGTTGGGCCAATGGAAATGATGCTTCCAAAGGTATCAATCATTTCTTAGAAAATCATGTGTGCAACAATGTCTGTCGGGCTTTGAAACTTGGCTCCCCCGCTGATATCACACCTGAAGTCACTGAACCGGACCGCTGTGGAACTGCTCAGCAAGTGAGTAAAGAGCTTGGAGGGGATAAAATAGCTAATAAGACTATGGAATAGTAGAATTAGTATCTGTGTGTGGGTGAGACTGCCCTCCTGTCTAGCTTGCGGGAAAGTTACACTAAGAAAAATAAGAGTGTGGCTTATTTCTAAATCTATCTTAGTGTTGATACTACTGTTATTGTTGCTTAAGAATACCTGTTGGAGAGGTAAGGAGTTTGTGGGGTTTTCTGAGTAATAAAGGTTTCTGAAGGGTTTCTCTGATATAAACTCTCTCTGGTCTCTGGTCTCTCTGGGCTCTGATAAAGGGTATGCTTATTTCTCTGATATCTGTTGCAAAAGAGTTGAGGATGGCTAAGCAATATCTCTGAATTACTTGTCTAGGGCCAAAATTGAGGTAAGGGAAGTTCAAGGGCTCTAATATTCTCTGGATCTCTTAATCAAAAAAGGGTGATGAAAGCTGAGTAATATCTCTGATTACTGTTCTGTAGCTAGCATGAGGAGGGAGAAAGGAAAACATGGGCCAGAAGAGCCTCTATTTATAAACAAATGGTTCTGCAGTACATGAGATTTTGGCCTGAACACAAGTGCGTCTGAGAAAGGTACTTCTAGAGTGGATTTTACTACTCTGAGATAGTCTAATCTGATATGAATTGATCTTTAAGTTCCCTTCTGATACAAGAGGTTGTAATTCTTCTATAAGATTTCCAATCTTAGACTAATTACTATGAGATTGGTATTCTAGGACTAACTAGTATTAGAGTTATTTTCTAGATCTAGTCTGTAAGGTACTTTTTGATCAATATCTTGTTTCTTTACTATAAGAGGGTAAATGGTATTTTCTTAGCCATTTCTGTATGTTATCTCAATATATTTATTATATGTATGGAATTAAATATTTTATGACTAATGGTGATAAAATTGACTATGATTTAAGAAGAAAATAATTGTGTAGATTATCTTATGTTGTAAACTCTTTATCTTTGGTGTGTAATTACTATTTGTGTCAAGTTATGTTTCCAATTTACGTGATATGTATGTGATTGGTCTCACCACATCCTCCCCCAACTTATTTGTCTGCCCTCAGACAATTTGTTTCTAAATAAATACTACATAAATATTATAATGAGACTTGAAGTTGTACCAGAATAAAAAAACTAAAATATCATTTGTCATATGACAGTCATACCAGGAAGATTTGGGAATCCAATTGACCAGTATCAAGATTCAGGATGAGTATGAAGTTGATTATCTTGATTTACAAAGATCCAGGTCTAGAGTTTTATTCTTGAGGGCAATCTTTTGATGAAATCTTGAGTGGGGAGTTTCTAATAATGAAATTTCTCATAATTTAGTATCTAGGTGAATTTTCTTATCATATCTTTCTACTTTAATAATCAAAATCTGTCCTAGCCCTCTGACTAATAAACAGTTCTAATCTTTATCTATATCAATTTATATTTCTATAATTCATCTTTAACTAAATTATGTAATTTCTTTTTATTTGACTCTCCCTTCTCAAAGATATTCTTCTTCCAACATTTCTCAGTTTTAATTCTCTTTTGCTGAAATTTTGTTCCTCTTGATAATCTTCTCTTTCTTCACTCTGTATCTTCTACTCAATCTAATTTTGTCATCCTATCTTTTTTTTCTGACTACCTATTTCTGTCACTAATAATTTTTGAAGGATTCAAATTTGAAGAATAAAGAGCTCTCAATGGAGTGTGAAAGCTGTTTTCAGTGGATCAGATTGTTGAAATAGAGAGTTCTTGGTTTATGTAGTGCATAGCGCTGGTTGGGCATCGCACTTAGATTCCTTTTTTTTACCTTGAGGATTCTAATCGGAAACAAAATCTTCCAGAGATATGTAGTTGCCTATAAAAGTTAAAGAAGCAAGGGCTGCTTGCGTTGTTGTCGTATCAAACGACCATCGCTGAAGCTTCAAAAATTAATCGTGTATGTACAATTCATGTAGAAGACTGAAGTATAATCGCTTAAATGAGTGGAGTCGGAAGCTTTTTAGGACATCGCCGCTTTGGTCCGATGTAAAAAAAACTAGAGTTTTGAATAGAACTTGGTAGAGAGAGGCGACTGTTTGCTGGGGATTGAGCTATCAAGAAAGAGAGGTATTGGTTTGTACAGTTTGTAGAGATCTGTTTTGATGTAATTGCAACCTCAGTCAAAGAGCATGAGATCCAACTGAAAAATGTAGGTGCGACTGGTTTGTAGAGAATTCTCTTGAAAGCAAATCGCCAAAAGAATAGAGTTGGTAGTGTCAAGGATATTGGCAGATCGGTCCCTCTAGATCAAGTTTTCAGGAAGATATAAACTTCTACTGAGCTCCAAATCCTGTGTAACGAGATCGCTATACTGATCATGTTGATCTTCAGAAGAAGTGCGAAGGAGAATAGAATCGCTGGTTTTAGGACTTCATCGTTTTGGTTCATTGACCATGAGATCCACTGAAATATGTAGTAGCGACTCGCGTGTAGAGAGTTTTAAATTTATACTAAGCGCTCTTCCGCCATCGTTGCGTCAAATGACCATGTAATACCTTTAAGAAGAATCACTGGAAAAGAGAGCTCATAGTCGCCATATTGTAGAATCTTGAAAACAATTGCTAAGAAGTGGAGTTTCTGGCTTTTAAGGACATTGGCAGAATGGTCTGACTTTGTATTTCAAGGTCTTGTTCCAAAGGAAAGAGAGTGTAGGTCGCAGCATGAGTTTCAAGACATCAATGCATCGGTCGGAAAGTGTAGTTTCTCAGAAGCCAAGGCTTGATTCCATCTAGTACGTTTAATAAAGAGATGATAGTATTCGCCAGCGTTTGGAATCATCAGCATTTTGATCCGACCATCTTCAATCCAGAGAAACCAGGGTTAAAATCTAGACGAATGCAGTTGGATGCTTTGAAGGACATCAGCGAGTTGATGTGTCAAAGATTTAAGTTGTCAGGAAGAGGAAAAGCTTCTGTTGAGCTCCAAATCGATAGAGTTGGTGGATTTCTGGGACTTTGCCATCTCAGTCTAGCTGTGTATTTCAAGGTCGGTGTTTGAGGGAATCGAGTCTTAGTCCAACTGATCAAATTCTAAGAAAACCAAGATCTAAACGAGTGAAGTTGCGAGCTTTTAAGGACATCGGCAAATTGGTCCACTTGTTTGAGATTCAATGAAGCCAGCTATCTTGAAATAAGTTAGTTGCATGATGTTGAATGTTCAAAGATGTAATTGACAGCTCCTTAATCACGCCATTGTCGTATTGATCTGACCACATAGAAGTTTTAAGAGAGATGGCTGAACCGGTCTAGATAAAAGAGCGATGTCGGTAGCTTTTCAGGTCGTCACTGCTTTGGTTCATCTTTGTATTTCAAGCTCTTATTCCAAATGAAGCAAGTATAGTAAGAAACATGAGTTCCAAGACGTTGACTGATCGATTGGAAAGTGTAGATTCTATAAGCGGAGTCTTGAGACCTTCAAAGAAGTTTGAGGGAAATGAGTTCATCGATCCCGTCTAGTGTTCATCAATATCCTTGAGGTTTGCTTTGATCTTGTTCTAGGATGTCGGTGAACTGTTAAATCCTGTTTGCTGGTTATTCTTGAGATGGAGCTTCTTGATCTGCCGATTCTTCAAGTTCAACTTGAGAGGGTAGTGTATTCTGTTAACTAGAGATCGAGTGAAACTGGCTGGTTGCTATAAGACTATTGAGTATAAGATATACTATAGAGTTGTCGGGTTATCTGAGACTAATTCATCTACTAATGATCCTCTTCAAGATAAGTCTCTTGAAATTCAAACTAGAACAAACCAAAAGGAATGTATACCGGTGAGGATGGTGTGCTTGGGTAACTATTAACTGGTGTATATTGATAGAAATCTAAAAAAAGATTAACTTGTATTCTGGAGAAAAGGTGTCAATATAAGGTAATGAGAACTGTAGTATCTTTTTGTAGAAGACTAAATTTATCTGAGGAAATCGGCCACTGTTGGGACACCACTTGTGGAACTGCTCAGCAAGTGAGTAAAGAGCTTGGAGGGGATAAAATAGCTAATAAGACTATGGAATAGTAGAATTAGTATCTGTGTGTGGGTGAGACTGCCCTCCTGTCTAGCTTGCGGGAAAGTTACACTAAGAAAAATAAGAGTGTGGCTTATTTCTAAATTTATCTTAGTGTTGATACTACTGTTATTGTTGCTTAAGAATACCTGTTGGAGAGGTAAGGAGTTTGTGGGGTTTTCTGAGTAATAAAGGTTTCTGAAGGGTTTCTCTGATATAAATTCTCTCTGGTCTCTGGTCTCTCTGGGCTCTGATAAAGGGTATGCTTATTTCTCTGATATCTGTTGCAAAAGAGTTGAGGATGGCTAAGCAATATCTCTGAATTACTTGTCTAGGGCCAAAATTGAGGTAAGGGAAGTTCAAGGGCTCTAATATTCTCTGGATCTCTTAATCAAAAAAGGGTGATGAAAGCTGAGTAATATCTCTGATTACTGTTCTGTAGCTAGCATGAGGAGGCAGAAAGGAAAACATGGGCCAGAAGAGCCTCTATTTATAGACAAATGGTTCTGCAGTACATGAGATTTTGGCCTGAACACAAGTGCGTCTGAGAAAGGTACTTCTAGAGTGGATTTTACTACTCTGAGATAGTCTAATCTGATATGAATTGATCTTTAAGTTCCCTTCTGATACAAGAGGTTGTAATTCTTCTATAAGATTTCCAATCTTAGACTAATTACTATGAGATTGGTATTCTAGGACTAACTAGTATTAGAGTTATTTTCTAGATCTAGTCTGTAAGGTACTTTTTGATCAATATCTTGTTTCTTTACTATAAGAGGGTAAATGGTATTTTCTTAGCTATTTCTGTATGTTATCTCAATATATTTATTACTAGGGAACTCGCGGCTCCGCCGCGTTCCACCAACTAAACAGCCACATTCAAGCTGCTGCCCGCAGCAGTCATTTCACTTCCCTACAATTTCACCGACACGCCAACCTCTACACTCAATCATCCTCAAAAAGCAATTGACCTTTGTAACTCTACCCACGACCTACGCTTTAGGCAAAAGCAACCGGTCAACATAACCTCTTTAGCTATGTATCAGGAACATGCCCATTTCCTAAACCAACTCTAGTTGCTTGATTCATCACCGGCGACAGAACCTTTAAATACAGTAAGTGTTCCAATATCTAAGATACTCCTGCGCACCTCCTTGCCCAGTTCTTAACACATCCTCTCTACCTACAACATTCAATTACATTAACACGCTTTCTCTTTCAACTACCACAATGTTCCACTGGAATCTGTCCATACGGTCATTCATCTTTGTAGCCGACCCACCTCGGCTTGGACCACATAACAAGTACCGGATATTCGATGCCACCCCTTGGACCTGGACACGTGGATTAGTTGAACCCATCTACCATATTAAACTCAACGTCTCTACTCCCGCTCCCATGGAATTGTCACCAAAAACCAGGTCCTGGCTGGCATTTGAAGGTTCTATCACTGGTCTCACCCCTACTGGTGCCATTAACATCAACACTACCAGGTCTAATTATTACACGGAAATTCCTGCGGACTATCGTCACGCTAACATTGAAATTTGTGGGCATGTGATCAGACATGAGTTTGAAAATAACTCCTGTTGTACTGTATCTATACGTGCTGTCCCTGTAAGCCTACTACTTTCAAAAAAACATGTCGGCACACCACTGATCCAATTATTTGTAGGACCTACACTTAGTCTTGTACCCCGGTACTGAATCGGTCAAATGTTCATTATCACAATCAAGTGCTGGGCAAACGATGTGGATCAGTGGATTCATAATCCAGAAAAAGCATGGGACTTTTGATGTCGAGGTAAGTCATTGATCTGTCTTTGCAACTACCTAAAAACTGATGAATCTTCATGTCAGGTCAAGACTGTTATCTTGGACCAAGAAAAAGAGCCATGTCTGTGAACTGGCCCCTATTCCAAGCCCTTCCCACCAAATTTTATCAAGACTTCGGGAGGTGATTCATGTACCATTAGCATATATAGTCTCATCGCCAAATTTGTATCTCTTCACATGTCTTGTAAACATCTGGGACTGCCCTGTAGTCGCTTACCCTCAGAGATGAGATAGTTACCTGACAACAAGAATTAGCCAGTTGTTCGCCCTGTGAAGCTGGCTCCATTATAACAAACATTGTGGACTTGGATCTTATCATCGGAATAACCTATGGTCCCAGCTGTTCCACTCAATCTCAAACTTGGGCTTAGACCTAAAATTGATTACGCTTAAGCCAGAAAATTGAGAACATGTACAAGAATTCTCTACCAGTATCTCTAGCAAACCACATTACTTTCAAGAAGTACTACTAACAGAACAAGACTCTTGAATTATATCAAGATTTACAACATTCGTAGTCATCGGGTTTTTAGAGTCTGGTCCTAAAATACCTACCATTAATCCCTTGGGTCTTGTGGATCTTGATAAAGCTACATACAACTGTCCATGAGAAAACACTGGGTTTGGTAAATAGATTCCAGTTCTGTTCAATGTCTGACCTTGCGCCTTATTTATAGTCATTGCAAAGGCTGGGGCTACCGGGAATTGGCATCTTGAAAACTTTGTTCCAAAACTCTCGCTCGGTTCATGAATTAGTAGCAACTTTGGGATCAAGACATGTTCCCCTCTGGTTGGTCCGGTGATAATTTGACATTTAAGCACACAAGGTTGAATTCCAACGACCAAGAGCCTGGTCCCGTTCCGCAATCCGGATCCAAGATCAAAATTCCGAAGACATACAACCGGCATACCTTCCTTTAACTTGAGAACTGGCAAAGAGAACCCAGGAATTGTGACCTTTTTTAAAATCTCCGCTCCAATGGTTTCATCACAATCACTGATAACTTGATCAATGGCATGAGCCTCCAGCTGTCTGCCTGGTAACAGGTTGAAACAAGTATCGTTTAAAACCTGTACATTCCTATTGAGCGGCGTTAAGAGACAGCGTTCTTGGAAGTAATCTATCAAGTCTTGACCCAAGTTGAGATCAAGTATCGTCTTTAGGTTCCCGTATACATGCTTGATCAGATGAATGACCAAAAGCTTGTATTGAGGATTCGACTCGACCTTAATTGAGGGTAGTGGAACCAGATCAGAACATTTTGTCATACCTGTGCCGGATCCAATATCAAGGAGCCAGTTCGCAAATGCCAATTTCTTTTCTGGGTCTGACAAGTTATCTTGACATTGTTGAGATAGCCGTAGATTTTCAGTCAAGCGCATTGTCTTGACACAAGGCCATATATTCGAACCGATTAATGAGGCTGCTCCTTGACTAAAGATATCTCCATGTTGAACAACGGGTAATGTTTGTCGAAAATCACCGCCGAATATTACTAACACACCGCCAAACCAAGTACTGACTCCTCTCAGCTCCTGAAAAGAACGATCAACCATTTCAATCGCATGCCGATGGGTCATAGTAATTTCATCCCATATCAATACCTGCAGGCCTTTCAGTTGTAAACCGAGATTTGTCGCCGGATCCCACTTTGCCATGGTCTGAGAGTTGACATTCAAAGGAATCTTTAGTTTTGAATGAGCTGTCCCTCCGCCTTCAAGCATTAGCGCCGCAACTCCCGAGGATGCAGTGACTAATATACTAACCTCTTTTGCTTGTAAGTACCTGATCAAACTGTTCAGAAGATAGGTCTTACCACATCCAGCAGGACCATCTATGAAAATTGGGTCATTGACCCCTGTAGCCTGTCGCGAGACTATGAGCTCGAATATTCGGCCCTGATCTGGTGTCAAGGGGCTGGGAGCCCGACCCCCAGGGCCAGCCCAGCTGATACTTGTCATAGGATCTTGGGACCTGAACCGCGCCCAGAGGTCCTGATCTACAACCGGTAGTCCAAGATCTGACCACGACTTTCCTTCTGATTCTATCCGTTTTGAGATCAGATAATATCCCAGACTCATAATGGTGTCCGGTGTTGGGTCCATGTTGCCGTAAACTGTCCGGAGCCTAAATTTGCAATCATCACTGAGCTCGTCAGAGAATCGAGTTAGTAATCGGCCCGGGTTGGCGGGTGGACTATGAATCAGCAGCAAGACAAACATGGACCGGAGCCTTTCCCCGGTCATCCATGATGATGCCTCAGCCATACACATCTCATAATGTGCATCTGTTACCAAGAAACCTTGATCTTCGGCAGCTTCTCGGAATGACTTTCTAGTAAAGCCATTGACTGTTTTCAGATCACTGAAATTTTCACAGCCCTTCAGGTTCTGGAGCAGAATTCGGAGGTAATACCGTTCTCCCTCGGTTGGAGTTGCAAAGTACAGGCGTCCAATTGTATCACTGGGTTTCTCCCGAGGCTTCCATTCCCGATTTTTGTACCAGTAAAAATGAGTTGGAATTTCCTGATACAGCAAATCTCTGGCCCGTTTCCTATACCCCATGGCGTCGGTTTGGTTCAGTTTGAAGTATTCTGTTAACGTGGTCAGTTCCGCAAGGCCAGATTCCATTTTTGCTATTGCCCCTTCTTTATTGTGGAAATAAATAGTTTGTTGATCTGGTAAATGGAGTGCAAGCCGCTGTATTGCAGGATAACGTGAATTCATTGGAAATTGAAATAGCCTGTGGACCGCTGCAAAAGACACCAAGGTTAATTACAGTCTAGAATTTCATTTCAGGATGACCAACCTTCACAAGGCCCAATGTATCTTCCATGAACAAACTTCGCAATCTCGTCTCCCTTCTTGAGCTCAAGAGCCGACCGGTCGATCCCTTTACATATATACTTGAACAGATACTTTGTCGCATTTATACCGTAAGGAATTTCAATATTAATGTGTGACTGGTACTTTAATAATAACCACTTATTGTACGGAACAACGTATCGGCTGTCGAATTTCTGTCCTGCTTTCTGAACTGAGTGATCAGTCTTGCGGCGCCGGTACAATGGATAAGCGTCATCTGGTAACTGGGTCTCGTTCTGATAAGGCTTAGGAAATCCTTTCGAGCATGTTCCATCCATGAGACAACGATCTTTGGTACATGGGCCATGAATCATTGTCTGGCCTACCAACCGGAATAGATTAGGTTCCGCTTGTGGATCTGGGACCTCTGCTGTGACCAGACAATTGATGGATTCCACAGTCCTTGGTACATCGTCAGGATGCAGAAACAACATGATGTGGCAATGAGGTAGCCCCCTTTTTTGGAATTCTATCACTGAGACATGAGCAAGTACTCGTCCAAGGACATGTTTTTCCGTCAGATCAATGATCAGTTCCTCTTTATGCAACTCAAACACCCTCGCTACTACGTCCGGTCGGTCCGAGGCACTGAAACCCGGGGGTAGAGCAGCTAAGATGTCGTGAGACTGGGGATTGGCTGTCATGGTTATAAAAAGGGAAGGTTTTCCATACTGTTCTACGATAGCCATTGAGTCTTGGTACAATTGTATCATGTGCCTCGGGGAACCGACGAAGGAAGAAGGCAAAATGACTTTCAGACCTTGTGGGTCTCCAGAGTTTCGAAGAGCTTCACGGACCCCTTGGTAAACTTGCGCCTTGATTTTTCCTTGATTCTTCTGGAAGTATTCCAGCCGATTTCTTTCAACACAAAAATAGAGGTCGTCAACCAGTTCTTGTAACAGGGCCCTTGAACAAAGAATGTAGTTAAAGTGATCTCGATTCGTGAATAGCAACGACGCATACCATTCAACCTGAGTAATTTTTTGACCTGTAACGCAAATCAGAACTTGTGCATGACAGATACTTATTGACTGTACTTACTCCGTCGTCCGGAGGTTGGTGCCAAGCCACGTATCCAGCCGCCTTGACCAGATGGGAATAGGATCGGGTATCGTAAGGGCAAATACCCAGTGTGCTGATCCGTCATATGCTCAATTTGCCCAGTTTTCCGATGCAGAACCAGATCTCTAACACCAATAGTTCCATCTTGTCCATCTTGGATAACCATTCCGACTTCATTGACTGTGGGTTTATTGTATGTCTTGGGATTAAAGGCCCCTGAGCTTATGTTCCGGAGGACAAAAGTTGGCGCGTCGGCACCCGTGTCAGTTTCTCGAACCCGTCGGTAAAACTGTGCATACGGATTAGTTTTGTCCAGTTCGTTTTGAATTTGGTGTACTAATTCCGGGTTTAATGCTGCTCCAGAGACTTGGACACGGTGCTCTGCTTCTTCGAGATCTGAGTTTCCAATGACCCAAATTTGCGAAAAACCTGAAGAACCAAGTGTTGAGCTCCGCAATGATCGTATATTATGGTAGAGGTTGCCTTTGATACGAAATGTATAGATACCCCGTTGACCTTGAGTTGACCGGTCAATCTTAACACCAAGCGAAGTGAAAGATAGAGCATTATTGTAACTGCGAATGTGTTGTTGGAACTCCCTAGAAACTTTATTAATGGTCAATAATGAGCTGCTTGCAGAACCGAGTTTGGGAAAAAACCTACTGGAGTCATCACTTGTAAGCAATGTTTGTAGGATAGGAGGGAAGGACCGGTTGTAATTTATTGGGATCAGGGCAGACCCCTTTTGACAACACATTGAGAAGGAAGCCGTCACCTTTGAGCGGTCGGCTTTGCTCCTTTCTTTGGTCCAATGCAATGACCCACAGGATGAACAAGGGTCACTACATATTCCAATAGTAAATGGAATTTGATCCGAGAAGTGTTTTAAGATGTAAGACTCTTGATTTTGAGTAGAGTTTCTGATTAAGGACATCACTGAGCAGACTTAGGAAGTGGGTCAGCTATTGGGCCAACAAGTCAGGTGCGAGTAGTAGGAATAGGGTGATGAATAGGTAATGATGAAAGGAACTGGATTGAAGATGACGCTGGTGCAGCAGTGGGCCAGCTACGCTGACTTTAGCGTCAGCGAAGCGTAGTGCAGCGAAATACCGCTAACACTACGGATGTTTTCCGTTAGCTGTTAGCGGTATCACGCTATCGCTGACGGCCATGGGGCAAAATATGATGCCACTACGCAGCGTTACACCCCTTTTTAGCGGGTTTTTCCCCAAAAAGCGGCGTAACGCGGCGTAGTGTTAGCGTAGCGCCGCTAACAGCCCGCTAACGCTACAGAATCAGGAGGAGCTTTCCGGGGTCGCTACGCTGATGCTAGGGGGTCGTTTAGCGTAGTTCAGCGTAGCGGCCCACCATTGGCTGGTGTTGGTACATGGGTTTTGTGGATGGGTCTAGTGCCACTGGGCCCGGATTAGGTATAGGTATTCCAGCAGTTTATTACAAAATTTTTGCCCTTTAAGGTAAACAGTTCTCTTTTCATAGCCCCATAATGGCAGTATACTGTTGATGCATCGGGTCTTGAAACTGTACAACACATTATGGATTAGAATTTTTTTGAAGGATATATGCGCAAATTTCAATTTTGGGCTGACAGTAAAGGAACAATACCTTTCCCGGAAATTTGATTAATCCAGATCAAATTTCCTTTTCAAGGCTGATATCCTTGATTCTTTACCTTGGTATCATGTATCAAATTTAGCCAAGGTCTCCACCAGAGTTAAAGCAGGAACAAGGATAAGTTGTAATGGGGACCGAGCTGAATGTTAGGCCTAAGCACATGGAATTGAGAGAGGTAGGGCCCGAGTTATTAGATTCAAATTACGGTCTCAGTAGGGAATCGAACGCGCAACCTGTCCTTACAGTACAAATATATTGTGTTTCAGCCAATACACAAACTTTCGATTAGCCTTAAGGTTTGTGGGAAGTATCCCACAGATCTTGGCTATGCCTCCCAAGTACTCTTGTCAAGACTCTCCTACAAGGATGGGAATCTGGAGGGTACAACGGTCCCAGATTTCATCACCCTAATAACAGGCCTGGTGCTGATCCGACCTGCCAACTTGCCTGGGTTTCTGTAAACTTGTTTTTTGGACACTCATAATTTTCAATAACTTGTTATGTAGAGGAAGCCGGTTACAAGGAATGAAAAATTTTTCCTACCAAAAGAAATGATACATATGCTGAATAGACAGAAACAGGAAATGAATCTGGGAAAAAAATTGTTTTGGCAATAAACAGGTGTCCAGTACATCAGATCGGCAGGTCTTGTGTGAAGAGCCTTGGCTTCACAATTTACAAGAAATTTGGAACTGGTGATATACATGTACAAGGTAAGGAACTGATGACAAAGGATCCAAAGACAAAAGATGAAGAGACAAGGTGTGAACCAATCGTCATGGAATAGCACTACTTCCTGGTGTGGGGCCGGTCACCGATTCTGTTTTGGTTTTCTTATTGTATCTTCTCTTGGGGCCCGGTAAAGAGGTAGTTGGATCAGCATTTGAGGCAGGTGTATCGGTAGGGTTTGGACCCGGAATAAGGTCAGAGGTAGAGCTGTTAACTATAGGAGTTTCGGTGTCGGCTTCATCATCACTATCGAAGTTGATCCTAAGGTTTGGGACAGGTGAGTGAAGGACACGCCTTATGGAATTTGTGAAAAGGAAAGGAAAACTTACTGGTATTGTTTTCGAGGTTGTGGAACCGACGTCTCCAAGGCAACTGAGGATGTGGTTAACGCATCGGGCCCAGTTGAGAGAGACACAGAAAGAGCCTGTTAAAGGGATCAGGGATCAGTGGGAGGCAATTTTTGGAAGTTAGAGCATTAACAATTAACCTGGACTTGTAACATTTTCTGGCTCTTGTCATATCCAGTGAGAGTTCCAGAGAGTAACATCTCTCGACCAAGTTGGAATAAGCCAAAGGTTTTGGCCAGGTTCCGGTTTCCAGGGATTTTGTATGAGACATTGAAGGAGACCTGAGTTTTAGACTGGAAATGAGGTTATTGATCATGCTTTGTAATATCAAGTACTGGGCTTATTGGGTGAGAGTTACATACCTGGTTGTCATAGTCGGTGTGTTTCATCACAACAAACAGACTTTGAAAGTTGGATTGACCCAGCGCGGAGTCTGTGCGTTCATGCTTGCTAACAACAATGCCATATCCCCATACAGCAGTTTTGTTAGATAGAGATATCGGCAAAGATTCCGTTGGTCCCATAGGGAAGGTCAGATCCTGGTCATAGTATAAAAGTGGTGGTGTTTTGAGGTTGGGACAGATGAGACGTCCAGACAACAAATAGGTGTTATCTCGGAGTAGGGCCATGGCAGCGGAGCCGTAACCAAGGAGATGGATCTTCATGTTAATCTCGTGCCCTGTTGTGGGGTCGTTGAAAGTTATCCCAGAATCCGCGGGGAGCTGTCCGTAGGTAGACCCGGCACTGATGTTGGGTGTTTTCTGTGGTGAGGAGAAGACAAATTGTTATGTCGGTTGGAATGCAGTT